CAGCTGCACGCACGCACGGGCATTTATCGGCCAAATTTTCAGCCACATCGGGCCAATTTCCAATATAGTCAATTTACTTTATAGCAGTGCTGATCCAATATTGGACAGATATATTGGTGCACCTCTTAAAAAATTCTTCTTTGCAAGCTTTCAGGTACAAACACCCTTCATCAGACTGAGGAAGTGTCTGAAGTTGGGCAGTCATATATACACGTGTGTGTGTGTGTGTGTGTGTGTGTGTGGGTGTATAGGTGTGGGTGGGTGTCATGACAGTTGCTCTCTACATATAGAAATAATAAATAAATATTACTGAAGTAAATAATAAAAAGATTTTGTTTCTGCATATTTGTTTTCATGCTCCCTTGTGTTCTAGATTTAAGTGAGTTTTGGTAAAGTTGTCAAGTTAAGCTTGATAGCCATAAACAAAACTCGCTTACCATATTTACTTGAATCTAAGATGTCTCTGACTGTAAGACGACTGCCCAATAATTTGATTCTAAACTTGGAAAATTTATAAATTTGTTATAGTTTTCCATGTCTAGAATCTGATTTTTTGCAAATGTGCAGCAACAAGAGGAAATATTTACTTTTTTGTGTTATTTCTATATGTAGAGAGAAACTGTCAAAGGTTTAATTTCTATAAACAAAACTTTTGTGAGACTTCCTTGTAGTGATAGTTCTTCTGGTGTCTAAGAATAAGCTGATCAGTTTTCACATCAGAAGTGTATTGGTAAAATTAGATGGTAAGAATAGAGGGATTGGCCTTAGACTCTTATCCTAAATGCTATATATTATCACTTTTACATTTATAAGTTGCCTTATAATGATTCTTGAATGTAGCACTTCTTGTAAGGCACTAATTTTTCATGCTATTGTTCCCTTGTCTTTTAAGGTTACAGAAAACAGATCGGAGTTTGAAGATTTGGACCTTTACGCAACTTCTCGAGAGCAACGCTTTCGTATATTTGCCAGCTTAGAATTTGAGGGCCAATTATACATGACTCCATATGACTTTATTAAGTCTGTTACAAGTGATGAACCTGAATGTAAGTAGGATCTTTGTATTGATAAAGCTTCTAGACAAAATGTTGATAACATCTATTATTTTTCAGCGTGTTATTGTTTTTCTTTATGTGAAAAGAAATAGCTAAAAATCCAAAAGGAAATTTGAAAATGTCATGAATTCATATTTAACGATAACTCTGTGAGTTTTCCATTTCCTGTGGAAAAACACAGGTTTACTCCTTTGAAGCTGGAAACTGCAGGTTTTCCCTTACAGGCTGGAAGTGTTCCAGCCTACAGGGAGCTACTTGGGGCTCAGGGGAGGGGGATGAGGATTGCAGGCAGGGAGCACCATGTGTGTTTGCACACGCATACACACGTGACTGGCAATACAGCCAGGCAGGGTAGGGGGAGCAGGCCCAGCAGCTGGATACAGGTAAGTCTACCCCCCCCCCCCCAAACCCCACTAACCACAATTAAAACTGCATTTGGGCCCCAGTATACAAGATTAAGACTGTATTTGGAGCTATTATGCAATCGCCTCTAGGTGCACTATGCAAACGCACCTAAATCAAATAAAAATATATATTTTTAATAAAATAAGTTATAATAGATGTTTGATTTTTTTAGTATATGATTTGTTCTTTTTTTCCATTTTCAAGATACCATGCCCCCCCTCCCTTGAAGGAGTGCTCTCAGGTCAAAGGGAGGGACTTCCAGTGGCAAAGGTCAGGGGGATAGGGGCAGAACTTCTGGTCCCAAGATGGCGACCAGGGGGCAGAGCACCTGTCAAGGGGCAGAGGTATCCTTGTGGCGTTTGACAGCTTACCAAAACTCATTAAGCAGCTCTTGATCCAAAATAATTGCCTGCCCCTGGAATATGGCAAAGGGGTCTTGGAAAGAAGCCCAAGCAAAGATAGGCTGCAGACCTAAGCAGGAAACAAGCTAAGCCCCCTGTACGCTTTTCTGTTTTGTTTTCTTTCTACTTGGAGCTTACCACACAGGGATGAACTGAACCCCTGCAGGACACTGCTATGCCTGGGGACAGCATTGGTATTATGGGGCCTTTCATCTTGTTCCTCAAAGATTCAGGTTGTGGCTGAAGGAGAGGCAGAGGCCACTGAAAGGGGTGGCTGTGGACACCCTAAGCGTAAAGCTTAGATGAGCAGGTAGAGTATAAAGACTGGGTACAATCTGGGACCACTAACATACAATGTGGTAGATATCATGAGCTTTGAGAACCTATGCCTACAGCATCCTTCAAAAATGGAAGGTATGCCCAGATGAGGAAAACAGAAATGTTGGCAGGTCAAATGTAATAGCAAAATAAGGCAGGTCAAAAAAAGAATTTTAGGAGCATCTAGCAAAAGATGAAAGTTTAATCATAAAAAAGTAATTCAGAAGCAGGAAGCTAGCAAGAGAATAAATGGACTACTATATAACCAAAATGCACTCAGGGATGATAAAGCCATAGCAAAAAATCTGAATGAATTATTTGCATCAGTTTTTATCACAGAAGATACTGGGAAAATTCCCATGCTGGAGCAGTTCTTAGTAGATAGGTCTGAAGAGTTGGACCATATTGAAGTGACGATAGAAGATGTTTTAGAACAAATTGATAAACTGAATATTAGTAAGACACCAGGACCAGATGGCATTCACCCAAAAGTTCTAAAGGAGCTCAAAGGTAAAAATGCAGAACTGTTGGCAATAGTATGTCATCTGTTATTATTAATTGGCCTCTATGCCAAGAGGATTGGTCAGTTGCCAAAATAGAGAAGGACAACCAAAATGGTATGGAGCAGTTGCCATACCATGTTTCTTCTTTATTATCCTTCTGGCCTTGTGACTCTTGTGTCAGGGCTTATAGTCAACAAAAAGGTTGGGGAATGCCTTCACCTCATCAGGTATGTGGTTAGAGTACTCTCCTGGAAAGTGGCAATGGAGATTTGAATGCCTTCAGAATAGACCTGTAACCCAAGTCTACCACTCCCTTGGCAAGTGTTGCAGCCACTAGGCTATCGAGCAAAATGTCTGCACCATAACCACCATTTCTGAACTAACTTGTTGTTGAGGTGAATTAGACCTGCTCAGACCATACCAATAGGCAGAATCCATGCATGTAGTTGGGTTCCTTGCATGCAGTAGCAATTGAGCTTCTGTGGAAGTAAGAATATAGGGGTGCTTGTACACGTGACGGTGGTTTAATCCCCTAAATTGAAATGGTGGGTTTTCAGTTGTGATGATTAAAAACCCACTGTTTCAATTTGAGGGCTTCTGTCACTGTTACAAGGGGCCTGATCCTTTTCTCCCCTCACCCCACCCTGCAGAGCCTGCCTGCATCTCTCGCGGCGGGGGAGGGGGTGAGCTGCCAGCAGGCCCTGAGCTGCAGAAGACCCCAGTCCTTCTTTCTGCAGCAGTGGTGCCCCCCTGGGGCTGACAGGGTGGGCTGCTAGCAGGTGGCTGCTGCCCCAGCTTGGGCAGCACCCACCCAGTAGCTGCCTACCCAGGCAGGTCTGGGGGCGCTGCCACAGAGGAGGGAAGGACTGGGGCCTCCTGCAGCTCAGGGCCTGCCAGCAGCATGCTCCTCAGCCATGGGAGAGACAGGCAGGCTCTGGGGCTGGTGGGGGAGATTAGGCCCCTCACCACTTTTTTTTTCCCCAGCGGAGCCTGCTCACATGAGCTGCTGCCAGATTGAGCAAGCAAAGCAGTGGGGGGCTGGTCCTTCCCTCCACAGTGAGGCTGCCTGGGCAGGGTGCTAATAGGCAGCACCCATCAGGTCCAGCTCTTCCCCAAGCCCATGCACTGGAAGCTTGCCAGGTGTTGCTTCCCATGCAGGCTCAGAGAATAGTTGGATCCAGTGGGTGCTGCCTGTGAGCTGGGGTAGCATCCGTGCAGCTATCACCCCACCCAGCAGCAGCTTGCACAGGTAGGCTCTGCTGGAAAAAAAAAAGTGGTGAGGGGCCCATTTTTGTTTGTTTTTTTTAACTCCCATGGAGCTTGCCTTCCTCTCCCATGGCTGGGGGGCAAGCTGCTGGCGGGCCTGGAGCTGTGAGGGGCCCTAGTCCTAGCCTTGGCCAGTCGCAACCCCTGGGGCTGCCCAGGCAGGCAACTACTAGGTGAGCCCAGGGGGGCGCCTCCACTGCAGAAGGAAGTACCAGAGCCCCCTGCCGCTCAGGGGCCACACAGCCACTGACAGGGGCAGCTTCCCCCCTCCCCGCCCCCAGCACTGTAGGGGACATGGGCAGGTTCCGCAAGGGCCGGGGGTGAAGAAAAGGATTGTCCCCTCACTGCTTCTGCCTTCAGCTCCTCTCTTCTGTGGCAGGAGGAAGCAAGCTGTCAAAAGGCTGCAGCGTTTCAAATAGTTACGCTGCAAACTAAATTACATGCAGATGTGGTTTAGTTTGCAACTTAAACTCATTTAAATCGTAAGAAAAACCCTACTCAAGTACAGTGTGATGCACAAAAATGGTCCATTTTTGTCACATGTTCAAACTGCCTAGGTGATTAAACTGGATTGTTTCTAGGTATGTATGTAGGCCCCAGTTTAGGAGCCAGGGGAACTTTGCAGTCCAACACACATGGAGGTACTTCCTGAACTTAAGAATTGACTGAGTTTTGTTGCTTTTAGAGCAGGGCTTATCTGGATCTCTTTTGGGAACTTAAACTCTGCCTAAATTCTGCCTTAATTCTGTCTAAGTTCTGTTTAGGTATTTATTCCTTAATGTTTCTGGATCTGTTTCCCCTTCTAGGGAACTGGACTAAAGCCTCACAGGACTAATTAAAAGGTTTCTAGTATCTGAGCGTAAAGTAATAAAATATTTAATTGTAACTTCTATTATTTTCATTAGCCCTGTTGTAAGGAGATTGCTCAACTTTAACCCTGTTCTGTTGAGCATAGCAGTACTTGGAGAAACAAACTCCTGAATCAAATACTAAGTGTTAGATGGTATCGTGTTCTTATTTTTTGTTTTTATTTAAAACTGTAATTGATTTGGGTCTATAAAGGCAGTTCAAACATACAGTCAAAGATACAGCATCTTACAGAGAAAATAAGAGTAGAATTCACTCATAATTAGACTTTTTATGGATGAACTAAAAAAAGTTTTGAGTTTTGCTAGAAAGCAGAAATGTCCTTTGAAGAGTAATAGTAGTAGCTCTTAGCTTTTTTGTATAGCAGAAGTAAATAATACTAGACCTGGATGAGATTTCTGGTGGTATGAATACATCTATTGTGATTGATTTACCCGGGAAATCTTGTAAACTCTTCAAAAGTTAAGTGTGTGTTCTCTTCCTTTTTGATTAAACACTGACTGAACATTGCATAATAGTAGTATGGTTAAAATGTGAAGTATTTTTTTAACTTTTAACTTTAGACAGTCAAAATAATAGCAGCTATAACTAAAAATAAGATACTTTTTCTATATATCTAGTGCAGGATATGGCTTTTGAAATGACTCTTACTGTACTACTTGTAACTGTTTCTGGGAAGCTGAACTTAGAATTCCGCTGTTTTTATTGCCTGGATACATGATTGCTCCTTGACAAAATCATTTGGGAAAAAAAGAGAAAAATATTTGTTGTTCTCTTTAACTTATGATTTGGCTAAACATAAGTTATAGACAACCCAATGATGAGATTTAAGAGGCATCTGTACACACACATCTTTTCTTTGTCTACAATCTAAAGCATACATGTAATCTAAGATCTAATAATTGAAAAATATTTTTCTATCCAGAATAGTAGATTTGGTATATTCATTGTTTTGACATCTTTTTATCAGAATTAAAAACAAATCAAACTAAAATCAAAATGAGTTTTGGCTTTTGTTTTATTTAGTCTATGATTGACACATGGCTTAAATTCAGATTTAAGATTTTAAGTACAAGGTTATATAAAAAAACTTTAGCTATATGTTGTGGCATGATATTATCATGTCTGAGCAGATGAGGGTTCACAGACTTTCTGAATTATAAACATAATCAGGTTCTTAAATTGAAACCTCAGTGTGGTGAAGGGTACTGTCCTAGTCCTCATCAATACAGGAAATGGGCTACACCACGGGTGGGCAAAATATGGCCCACGGCCCAGATCCAGCCCTCCAAATGATTCTATCCAGCCTGCAGCCAGACAACCTGTGGTGCCGAACCGCCTTCTGCCCTCACCCCCTCCCAAACCCCGAGTCCCCGGCACACAGCTGGGCCAGACCAGTGTCACACTATGTTCCTGCACACAACCTTGGACCACATGGGCACAGCTGGCATGGCACCTGCCCGACCCGGCTGCATGTCAGGGGAGGGAAAGGGATGCAGGAAGAAGGGGGCCAGGAGCCACAGGTTTTCTGGGCCCGGCTGGTCCGGTGCCATACTGTACTTCCCTCCTCTTCCCTGCATTCCTCCCCTCACCCCCCAAGTCCCCAGCACATGGCTGGGTCAGGCACACCCACGTGGCCACAGGCGGGGCACAGGAACACAGTGCGGCACCAGCCTGTCCAAGCCGTGCCCCAGAGATTTGGGGTGGGGAAGGGGGTACAAGGAGAAAGGGGGAGCAAACATTCGGTTGTTCTAAATCAGGGATGGGCAATAATTTGACTTGAAGAGCCACTTACGGAGTTTTGGTGACCTGTTGCAGGGTGGGGGAGAGGGGCATTGCTGAGCTGGCCCACAATAGCTCACCAGAACTTCCTAAGTGGCCCTCCAGGCCACATAATTGCCAAATCCATAGGCCTCTAACCTGTAATTTATGTGTTTTAATTGCTGTACACTGAAATATAAAGGTGCCTATACACGAGCAGAGAAGCTGCTCAAATGCGTTGGAATTACAGCACATCAGAGCAGACTCAATTGATGGTATCCTGTGTTTTGTGTATTAGTATCCCTGCGCTTGCATTTTTATCTAAAACTCGTTGACCGAGCTTTAGATAAGTGCCCCGTGGCCATTTTGAAGCATGGGGATGCTGATGCATGAGATGCTCCAGGTGCTTTAATTAGAGTAGCTCTCAGAGCCACTTTAATTAAAGCGCTACTCTTCCATCCCTCCCAGAGCATAGATTCATAAATTAGAGTAGGAAGGGACCACAATGGATCATCATGTCCGACCCCCTGCCCATGGCAGGAAAGAGGACCGAGATCAGGTGACTATCTAGCCTACTCTTGAAGACCTCCAAGCTAGGTGATAGCACCACCTCTCTTGGAAGCCCATTCCAGATCCTGGCCATCCTTACTGTGAAAAATGTCTTCCTAATATCTAACCTAAATCCACTTTCAACTAGTTTACACCCATTATTCCTAGTCACTCCCTGGGGCGCCTTAGTAAACAGCGCTTCCCCTATTCCCCGTTGACCTCCCCTAATAAATGTATAGGCGGCCACAAGGTCTCCCCTCAGCCGTCTCTTGTAAAGGCTGAAGAGATTCAGCTCTCTCAGCCTCCCCCCCGTAGGGAGGGGGGAGGAGTGCCCGCATGTAAGTCTCAACATGGGGGTAAGGATTAAAACAGCTGTGGCATGGGCAAGCCCAGAGCTGGCTTTGCTCTAGTGCCCTGAGGCAGTCACAGTTACCTGGAAAGTTTGCAGGCAAGCAGGTTCCATGTATAGCAACTTGTTCCCCTAACAGCCTGTTATGAACCCACTCTGTTGGTTCTTCAGCTTTCCCAAAGCAGCTGAACAAAGGCAAGACCCAAGCTGATGCAGTGCTGGCTAGCAGGGTCCAAGCCTCCTGTAGGGATGCACCTCCCTGCACCCAGCAGCACCAGGGAGGAGGGAACACATGGGCTGCAGCTGAACCCAAGCCTCCTCCTCTCAGCTGAGCCCAGAGCAAACTGCCTCCCTATCACAAAGGCCACTAATCATGCAAGTGGCCATCCTCTGGACCCTCTTGAGATTCCCCGCGTCCCTCTTGAAGTGCAGTGCCCAAAACTGGACACAGTACTCCAACTGTGGCCTGACCAGTGCCGCATAGAGGGGGAGCATCACCTCCTTTGTTCTGTTAGTCATGCACCTGCTAATGCACAACAAGGTGCGATTGGTCTTGTTGATGGCCTCGTTACACTGTCGGCTCATGTTCATCTTGGAGTCAATTATGACTCCAAGATCCCTCTCTGCCTCTGAGCTGCTGAGAAGGACACTCCCCAACCTATAGGTGTGCTGGGGGTTCCTCCTTCCCAGGTGGAGTACCTTACATTTATCTTTACTAAATTGCATCCTATTTCTCTCTGCCCATTGATCCAGCCTGTCCAGGTCAGCCTGAATCTGCTCCCTGCCCTCCGGTGTACTAACTTTGTTCCATGTGTGTAAACACCCAAGGTTGTAGTAACTCGGCAAGCTTTCTAAATCCCAAATAGAAAAAGTCTACCCTGGGGTGCATAGTACAGAGTACCTGTGTTTTCTGTTGTCTTACAGGTCCCAGAGTTTGGCAGTACCAACCAACATGTTTAGTAAGACCACACGCTGTGCAGTTGTTTCTATGAATTGTAATACTATTACTGGAATTTAAAGTTTCACAAAGCATTGTTATCTCAGTGAAGAGCTCCTTCAAAAAGCCTGCTTTGGGAGGCAAGGCATTGCTCCAAGTTTTATAAATCAGTACTACTCCTCATAACCCTCCCCTTGAAGAGTATTGTTGTCTGCTAGTTGCATACTTTGGGGACCTGCAGGAAAAAAAAATCTTCAGAGAGAAAGGGACACTTACCAATAACTCTCCTGAGAGAGGCAGTGCAATCTAGGGAACACTGGACTGAGAACCAGGAGATGTGGCTTCTATTCCTGGCTCTGTCACTGTCCTATTGTATGACTTTGGGTGAACCATTTTATCTTCTGGGCCTCTGTTTCTGCCTCCTACCATTAGTGTGCTCATTTAAATGACAAGGCTAAGATCAGTAAACAGACCTAGGCTTCTATAGCAGGAATTATGTTGAATGCAGGCACTACATCCTAGAGCGTGATTTTTAAAACCTGTGCCTTACCTCATAATTATGAAGGGACTGGGACATGGACAGTCAGGCTTCCTTGTCAGAGCTGAGATCTTAGTCCAAGAGGCAAGCCAAGGGCCAGGGCCAGGACCAGAACATTAGTGGTCAAAAGCCTGGGGCAGGAGGCAAGTGGAGAGCTGGAACCATCTTTGGAGACTGGGATCTTGTTTGTCTAAAGACTAGAGCCTGGAGGTAACTCAGAGGCTGAAGCAAGAGCCAGAGCAACTGGCAAGCATCAGGAACAACAGTAATACAGAGACCAACAGAACACCCAGAGGAAGGATGAATATAGACCAGTCTCAGTCTCTTTGCTAAGTGCTGCCCTTGATCTCTGGAAGCAGTCCCAGCAGCCAGTCTCCCAAGGCAACCAATTCAGTCACAGCTACAGAGGCCAGCCAGTCCAGAGACTGCAGAGTCCAGCCCAGGTGAGGAAGACTCTAATCCAACTTAGGTGTAAGTGAGCACAGAGTTCCTTATAGTAAGTGTCTGAAATCCTTAAATATTTCCTCAGCCTGAAGGGCTTCATACTTGTATCTCACCTTCCACAAGGGTGCCAGGCACGTTGACTAGCTATTCTGGGATCGGAGCATTCTCCAGCTCTCCTGCT